AACCTCATTTAATTTTATGTCTTATAGAGTTTATAAGGAGTTAAAGATTATATAAGCGTAATAATTCATCTGGTGCATGCTTTTAATCCCAGCAGAGGCAGGTGAATTACTGTGAGATTGAGGTCAGCCTGATCTACACAGGAAGTTCTAGACCAGTTGAGGCTACAGGAAGACCCTGTCTCAAAAAGACCAAAAGAAAAAAAAAAAGCCAACTAAATCAATACATACAATGTATGATGTACTAATCAGAGTAACTTGCATATCTACCAGTCGCTGCAGCATAAGTCATTTCTTTATATTGGAAATATTCAAAATCCTCTCTAATCCTTATCTTGAAATATATCAATTGTTGCCAACTGGAAATAACAGTCTAATGATATTTATCCTCAATCTGTCATAGGTATATTTATCTGGAAGCACAGTAGCAATTGATTCTATGTGTAATAGAATGGCCTTTTCTTAACTAGTTCGCTTGGGAAGACAAATTTTAAGGGCTTGGTATGGTTCCTAATGTACTATCACACTTCTTCCTAGGTCACACTGTTCAGACTAGTATTAGAATAAACTCCAGGTTTACAAAAAAAAAAAAAAGAATTATTAAAAACCAAACTGGGCATGGTAGGGCACACCTTTAATCCTAGCACTGGGGAGGCAGAGGCAGATGGATCTCTGTGAGGTCTAGGCCACCCTGGTCTACATAGTGAGTTCCAGGTCAGCTGAGGCTATGGGGAGACCCTGTCTCAAAACAATGAAGAATTATTTTTAAAAAAATCTTAAAAAATTTATTTATTATTCTTTATGTTATGAGTGTGTTGTCTGCATATGTTAGTGCATCCATGTAATGCAATGACCACGGAGGTCAGAAGATAGCATCAGATCCCCTGGAACTGTAGTTATGGACAGTTGTTAGTTGCCATGTGGGTGCTGGGAACCAAACCTTGGTCTTCTGCAAGAACAGCCAGTGCTGAGCTGAGCCAACTCTCCAGCCCCAAAGAATTAAAAAAAAAATTTTTTTACAAAAACTTTGAGAATTTCATAATGCATATAAGGTATTTTGATCAAATTCATGCCCAGTCCCTCCCTTCCAACATTCCCTCCTCTGAAGAGGTAACCCTAAAATCTTTTAAGGATTAGGTACAAGCTCCCAAATACTTATGACATTTTTGGAACAGAGTATGTTGCTAATAGGCCCAAGAACATTTTGACTTTTAGCCAAGAAACTGGCTACATTTCTTTGGGGTCTTTTTTACCCTAACTGCCTGGCCAATTCCTACTTCCTATTTTTATCATGCCATCCTCTGAAGGGGTTACCCAAATTGCCAATAGGGAATAGGGACGCAGACCACTCTGGCTTCTTCCATGCTGAACAGGGACGCAGTGTGAATAAAAGTAAATCACTCATGTAAAACTCATATATATATGAATATGACTTTGGTCTACTTAGATAATCCTCTCTAGAGCCAAACATACTTTCTTTGTGAAAAACCACTTAACTGTCCCTAATTTGGAGACTATATCATCTACTGCTTAAAACTTGCAAATCAGAAACCTGGGGGTTCATGTGGATTCCTCCCTTCATTTCCTGCACCATGAGCCCTATGCTGTCTAGTTTATTTTACTTCCTCTTAACATATTTGCTCCTCTATTTCCACTGACTCTAGAGGCACTCAATATTCTCACTTGGATCATGAAAGAGCCTCTTGCTAATCCTTTAGCCTCTAGTCATCCAGTCATCACTACAGTTTGCAGGAGTGCTGGGTCTGTAATAGAAATGTGATCCCCTTAAACAACTTCAGTGGCCTTCTACAGCTCTAGTCTGGCTTCTGTTTTTGTCTGAGTGACCCAAGAACTAACATTTAAGGAGCTCATTTAACAGTCTTTCCATTTTACAGTCACAGAGACATCAAACTAAACATACAACATGACATAATTTTACATATCCGTATCTTTTGACTTGTGCTGCCCCAAAGCACATTTAAAACAAAACTATGGATAGGTACAAATAGATTTTTGTGAGGAAGCTGAACAAGCATCATCATCATCATCATTAATTTTTTTTGAGATAGGGTCTCACTGTAGCCCTAGCTGGTCTGGAATTTACTACGTAGACCAGGCTGGCCTTGATCTCAGAGATCTGCCTGCCTCTGTCTCCTGAGTGCTGATATTAAAGTTGTGTACCACCATGCCCAGCTAACAAGCATGTTTTAATGATCAGGTTACTACTGGGGACCCTCTGAGAGACTGCAGAGAACATACTTCAGAATCGTACCACTGAGGGATGGGAAAGCCGGAATATTATCCACCAATTTACTGTTCAAGGGTCACTCCTAGAGATGCTAACTCTCTTGCCCTCCGGCAAACAGTACCTTGTCCAGAGAACATCCTCAGGTAGAGAAACAGGGCTGTCAGGTGGACCAAAGCCATCCATAGCATCTAACACTATATACTGTGCATATTCCCAACTGCATTTTCCTTTTATTTGTCCTGCATCCTTTAAGAGTCAGCCTATTGAAGCCTTTCTTGGCCTCCTCTTGGAGTGTTTTCCTTCTTCTTCTGTGTACATTCTCATCAACTGTAGCTATCCATTTATGTCTGACCCCATACTAGAGTCGGCACTCCCAATGGCAGTTGTTAGTACCTAATTTAGCATCTGGTACAGGGCAGATGCTCAGTGTCTCGGAATAAGATCATGGTTGGAGGTGGAAGAAGAGAATTCTGTTTTCTACATATGAAACTGAGAAAACTGTCAAACAAATACACAATACCACATTCTGACTAATATAAGGTCAAGTGCATAGACAGAAGCAGCAAGGTAGAAATCTTGGTCAGTGCCAGTCAGTTTGGCTCAGTTGCTTTTCTTATGAAAATGAGACTATAGATGAGCTTTAGTTTCTTTCAAGTGCCACAGACTTCAAGTGACTGAGTTTACATATAATCAAAAGGTGGAGACCACAAACTATACAACCCTCATATATCCATTTGTGGTATTAACTTGAATTCAAAAAGAGAGCATGTGATGTAGACTTGGGATGCTGGCAGATCTGTAATACTGCATACTACAGATAAAAAGAGCTGGGGCCAGAAGGGAAGGGTCTCTGGTATGAGAGCACACCACCAGGGAGGAACTAGCTGGGCAGGGTGGTGGCCTCTAAGCTGGTGCCAATGTCCAGACAGAATTCTGTTTCTGTTTCCAGACCCTCTGTAGTATGGTTATCCTACCTGGTCCAACTTTGGTTTCAGGCTTGCAAATGACCATTTCCTGGGTTCTCTTCTATTTCCCAAAAGGTAGGCTTTGTCTATATTTCTAGATGGCAAGAAACTAACTTTCAACACTGAACATAGGCCATATTTGGCTTCCTGACATCTCAGGCAGTTTTAATCTTCCATAAATGTGACAGTGGTGAGGGGTTGGGTTTGAGTAAGGAAGACTAGGCGAGTTTATGGTTCCTCTGTGTAACAGACTAAAAAATATGTTCATTTAAGAAGAAGACTTCTTTCTCATAAAATACTGTGCACATAGCACTGGCATTCTGTGTAATCTAGATGTAGATGAGTCAGATTTCTTTAAAAAGCTAGATTTCATGTTTCAAATATTTGTTTTCTTTTTGACAAACCTCTAAACATATGCAATAATAGAAAAAGTCAAAATACAAATAAATGCTGCTAGAACTCAGCTGCAAGCAAACAATTTCACTGGTTTCATGGGTATTAGCACACTCCTGCCAAGCACGAGTCACTGCTGTGAATGACTCTTGCCTGAGAGAAGAGAACACTCTAAACATTCCCTGTCCTTTCCAGAAAACTATTATTACTTTATTGTGTATGATGTGTGTGTGTGTGTGTGTGTGTGTGTGTGTGTGTGTGTGTTGTGTGAGGGAAGGGTACATTGGTGCCCATGTGGAAGTTGAAATTTTGGGGAGTTGGTTCTTTCCCTCCACCAGGGGTTCTTGGGTTCTGAGAATAGAACTCAGGCTGTCAGGCTTGACTGCTTTTACTTGACGAGACAGCTCACTGGCTTGGGAACTACTTTTAAAAAATATTTAGTTTTGAGCTGAAGAACTGGTACAGTCATTAAACACTCAGGCTCACAAAGTATGTTTAGTTTATTTGTTTAGTTTAGTGGTTTTTGTTTTTTTTTTTTTTTGAGACAGGGTCTTCCTGTAGCCCTAGCTGGAACTTGCTAGCCTCAATCTCACAGAGATCTGCCTGTCTCTGCCTTCTGAGTCCTAGGATTAAAGGCGTGTGCTACAATGCCTGGAATTACTTTTAATTATGTGTATTCACATGTGTCTGTGTCTATGTGTGGGTATGTGCACATGAGTGTAGGGGCTTGCAGAGGCCATGGAAATAGATCCCCTAGATCTGGAGTTAGAGGTAGTGAGCTGCCTTACAAGAGTACTGAGAACCCAACTCAGGCCTTCTATAAGAGTAGTATGTGCTTTTAACTGCTGAATCATCTCTCTAGCCCTACAACTATTGTTTTTGAGGATACCTCACAATGTGGGAATCAGGATGTGTCCCTGGCACATTGGTTTAACTACATCCATGGGTTATGAGTGCCTTCCATGAGCTGTTGTTGTTGGATGGCTCCTTTCCTTTGGTACTTTAGAAAAAGGAACAATAGAGAAAACAAGTAAGTCAAGAAGATTAATTGAAAGCAGATGAATGGCAACATGCTCAGGATAATGTTGTGATGTGGCTTGGTTTGATGGAGATTTTGCCACTGATTCATTGACTAATGGAAAATCACTTGACTCGTCTGGGTCTCAGTAGAAGAGGGAATGGATGAAGTTAGGTCTCTAGACAGCCAAGTTTATAACACTAATAAGAAAAATAAACTGGCAGGAGTGTGTGCACTACTCCCAAAGAGAAATGCAATACATGGAAAACCGATGACAAAGAAAGGACAAAATGGAAAGGGGGCCAAGTGACTACCACATGCCAATGAAATGACCAAAGATGGGCAAAACTTTAGAGGTACTCCAATATGTGAGTCTTACCTTCCAGTGACAGCAAAGCAAAGCGTACACATTCCACGTAAGAATCCTGCAGCATGCTGTAGAAACATGGCCATCTTGGGATTCTCATCCACTGGGCCTTGCACTGAGAGGAAGCAGCCACGCAGTCTGTCAATCAGACCCATGTTGACAACGTAGCTAGATAGGGGAGAGAACAGTATGTTTCAGTCTGCATGGGGTGGTAACATTGCCATCTTCCATGATAAATCTTAACATGCCCAGGCTTGGATCCCTCAACATGCAGAGTTTGAATGAAGTATCTTAAGTACCAGTATAGATCAGAATACTTGGCTGTTTCTGCCATCTTTTTTTGGTGTCTTTATTTTGACACTATCAAGAAAAATGAGATTATTTTCTGATCATTCTTCCTGGTCTGAAGAGTCTGATAATAAGTGAAATAATTCATAATGACCTCTACAGTTCTTTTTGAAGGAGTAGGCAGCTAAATCCACCAGAGCACAGGTAGTTAGAAGATACAGTAATGCTACCCTGATACAATTTTAAAAACTGTATTATTTGACAATTTCATACATGCATACAATACATTCTGGCTCCACTCACCACCACACCTACCCTCTCACATCCCCACCAACCTGCTCTCCTCCTAAGTCTCCTTCCAATCATGCCTTTTTGTTTTTGTTTTCTGATCTACTGAGTTTAACCAGGGCCACCCTCTTGGGCAAGCTTTCCAGATACTCTTCTCACAATTTAAAATTCTAATGCCAAATGTCAGTTCTCTATTTAAAAAAAAATCACCATTGAGAATATAACAAATGTTAACCAGGCATGGTGGTACATGCCCTTAACCCCAGATGAGGGAGAGCTGTGAAATCCAGGACAGCCTGGTCTACACAGTGAGTTCCAGGCCATCTTGGGCTACAGGGAGATCCTGTCTCAAAACAAACAAACAAATAAATAAACAAATAACAAACATAACAAATATTAAGAATCTCACTTTAAAAATAAAAAAATATGCATAATCTTAAATTAATAATAAGGACAAACTAGACAAACCCAAACTAGGAATGCTCTGCAAAATAACTGGTCATCCCCATTCAAAACTGTCAGTATTAGAAGACAGAGACTAAGGATGAGAAACAGTTTCAAATTAACACCAAAGAGAACTATCATGAAAATTTAATGTGTGATACTAGTCAGGACTGTGGACAAGGAAAAAGAAATCTATGAAGAATATAACTGTAACAATTAGTGAAGAGGGAATACTGTCTATAGATTACAGTATTTCCCCCAGGTTATTTCCTGAATTTGACACCTGTACTATGATCATGTAGGGGAAAATGTTTTAGCTGCCAGGGTCTGGCTTATATCACTTAAAATGGTGACCTCTAGTTCCATTCATGCTTTTGTAAGAATTTTACCCTTTTTATGGCTGAACAGAATTCTATAGTCTCTTTTGTATGTGTATATGACACTTTGTTTATATATTATTCATTTTGTTGTTTCTATTTCTTGGCTATTGTGAAGTGCTATAATAAAAATGGAAACATCCATCTCTTTATGAAATAATGATTTTATTTTCTTTGTACATATACCAACTGGTGGGACTCCTGGATTATATAGTGATTTCAATGTTAATTAAATTTTTTAAAATTTATTTTACTTTTAGTTTTGTGTATATGAGTATTTTGTCTGCATGTATTTAAGTGTACCATATGCATGCAAATACTTGTGGAGGCCAGAAAAGGGCATCAGATCCCTTAGAACTGGAGTTAGGGATGGTTGTTAGCTGCCATGTGGATGCTGGGAACCAAACCCAGGTCCTCTGCAAGAGCAGCCAGTGCTCTTTACCATTAAGTCATCTCTTCAGTCCCTCAATGCTCATTTTTAAAGAAACCGCTATCTTACTTTCCACAATGGTTACCTCTTCTACATTCCTAGCAACATAGGGCAAGGGTTCTCTTTTTGCCATCAGTTAACCTTCATCTTTAAAAAAGCGGTTATGTTTTTGCAGAAGACCCAGGTTCGAATCCCAGCATCCACATGGCAGCTAACAAGTGTTCCAAACTCCAGTTCCAGGGGATCTAACAGCCTCTTCTGTCCTCTGCGGGCACTGCATGACACGGGTGCACTTACCTACATGCAGGCAAGACACGCATACACATAAAATAAAAATAAAATATTTTAAAAAAGATTTTATTTATTTTTATTTTATGTGTATGCGTGTCTTGTCTGCATGTAGGTAAGTACATCATGTGCATGCAATGCCCATGAAGGGGGTGTTGGATTTTTTGGAACTGGAGTTAAGGATAGTTGTTCATTGCCATGTGGGTGCTGGGAACTGAACCTGGATCCTCTGCAAGAGCAGCTAGTGCTCTTAGTCACTGATCCATCTCTCCAGTTCCAACTTTGACCTTTTTGATAACAGCCATTCTCTCTAGACTGAGAGGATCTCTCACTATTGTTTTTATTTGCATTTTCCTGATGATTAGTGATTATGAGAATCTGATATATACCTGCTGGTCATTTATATTGCATTGAGAAAGTTCCATTTAAAGAGTACTAATTTGATATGGAGTGGAGTTCCTTATATATTCTTGCTATCAACCCTTTGTCAAAGCAGATGTGTACTTTTGTATATTTTCTGGAACTATTGTTTTGTTTTTTGAAAAGGGGCCTCACTATACAGCTAGCCTTGAACTTGTGATCCTCCTGCCTCAGTCTCTCGTGTGCCAGGATTATAGGTATATGCTTCCACATCTGGCTTCCCATTCTGTAGGGTATCGCTTCACTGGGTTGATTTTTACCTTTGCTGGGCAGATGTAATCCCATTTGTCTAGTTGCCTATACCTTTGGAGTCTTATCCAAAAATCTTTGCCCTTTCCAATTCTAAGAATTTTTATTTCACAATTAAAAAAATGTGTGTGTATATGTTCATGAATGTGTGAGGGTGCACATGCACATATGTGGTTATGTGGAAACCAAAGGTGGATGTCAGGGGTCTTTCTCAATTGCTCCCCACCTCATTTTTTTTTTCAGATACAGTCTCCCTGTAGCCCCAGCTGGCCCGGAACTCACTATGAAGATCAGGCTGTCCTTGATCTCACAAAGATTTGCCTGCCTCTGCCTCCTGAGTTCAGGGCCACCACACCCTGCAGAAATTTCTTAAATAGGTCAAACGGATGTTTTTCATGAGATTTATGAAGTTGGCACTAGATTTTTTTTTTTATGCTTTTCTTTTTTTCAGGGGGGATTGCGGGGGATCGAAACCATGCTGAGTGTGATGAATAGAAGCTGACTACATAGCAAAACATAGCATGAGGGAAGCTAGAGACAGTGGAGCGGTGTCTTTAAAGTGCCGAAAGAAAAGCAATCTTTCAAGGGTGGAACATAGATGATTCAAGCAGTAAACAGGAAAATGATTATGGCATATTAACATTCAAGTAGAACTCTAAAACAAGGAATATTTAGTACAAAAAATGGAAAACAGGGCTTTTCATCTGGGAGACCTAATAGTGCTGGAGCACATCTACTAAGAGGTCTTTAAAAGATGTGAAATAAAATCTGACTAAAAATAAAAAGTGGAGAGAAATCTACAATCACAGCTGGAAATGGTTTTCCTTTCTTTAGAAATAGTTTTGCTATGTAGCCAAGGCTGGTTTTCAATTCTCCTGCCTCTGCTTCTAGAGAGCTGTAATTACAGGTTTGTGTGACCATACTCTAGCAGTTGGGAGATTTTTTGTTCTTGTTGTTTTGTTTATTGACAGGGTCTCCCTAGTCTCTGCCCATCTGGAAGTTACTATGTGGACCATGATGGCCTCGATCTCACAGAAATTTGCCTGCCTTTGCCTCTGGAGGGCTGGGATTAACGGTGTGCACCACCATGCCAGGCATACAGTTGGAGATCATTAATATTCTCTTTTAGTAATCATTAGAACTAGGGAAAATTAGGACTACAGAATTATATGTTGTTCAGTATATTATCTATTAGCTATATGTGTTTATTTAAACTTTAAAAAATTAAATTTGTAAGGTAAAAATTAATTGGTAACCACTCGTGTATGTTTTCATGTGTAAAGGATTTATTGATGGAAATATTTTGGGGGTTGAGAAGTTGAGTCATCTGTTTTTGGAGGACACAAACCTAGCTGATGTCTGGTTCTAGAAATGGTACCTGTCACAGTGGTAGTTTCCTGTCAAGTTGAGACAGTGAGCTGCTAAACTGAATAGTTCCAGTGGTTTAGCATCATTCTTATGTGAGTCTGCACATGTATGTTATGTGTACAGGTGTACATGCTCGTGTGAGCATATAAAAAGCCAGAGGAGGATGTTAGGAGTCTTCTCCTAGCATTTCTAGCTTTATTTTTTGAGACAGTGTCTTTCAGTGAATCTGAGCACACCACCTGTCAGTGAGCTCCTGGGATCCACCTATCTCCGTCCCGATGCCAGGGTCACACATACACCTAGCCATGCCCAGCTTTTACATGGGTGCTAGGGATTTGCACTTACGTCTCCTTGCTTAAAGTAGTCTTACCCACTAAACTATCTCCGCAGTGCCCTGATTCAGCACAATTCTTAACTTTTAAGTTAGCGCTTGATGTTGATAGATGTAATAGACCTAGAGTTTTATATCATTGTTCTCATAATTCCTGGGGACTCAACCTAGATAATCTTGTGAGCACCCAATTTCCTATATTAAATTCCTTTTGGTTTAATTTACTACAGTCATTTCTGTTTTCTACAACTGAATTCTGAGTGATATGATAGGTGATATACAAGGTTCAGCCTCACTAATGATACGTACAATGTAAGTGAAGGCAACAGCCAAACACCATTTCATACCTATCAGGTTGATAACAGCACTGGTAAGGATATGGGAAAATGGGAACCCCTAGTTTTTAGTGATAGAAACTGAAAATTATACAATTACGACAGAAAACTGTGTGGTGTTTGCTGATAAAGTTGAATATACATTGTCATGTCCTTCACAAATTCTTCTTTTAAGTATAGAACCTTGAGAAACAAATATAAACATGGAAGAGGTCCATGAATATCAGCTATATCACTGCTTGAAATAGACAGGAGGGATAATTTTCCTCATGTAGAAAATGGATAAAGAAATTAAGAAGTTATTTTTAGAAGAGAATTGTAGAACAGGTAAAATGAATTAACTAAGTCTACATCAATCAATATAATTAAAAAAATATTAAAATATGTTAAAATGTAATTGCATCCAACTACTGATTAGCAAAATACTGTCAGAATTTATGTAAATGTTAAGAAACCTTAAAAATACAAGTAGAATATCTTGTTTATGGGTATTCACACATGTGCTCACAGACATACAAAGCAGCATGGAGATGAAGTGCATCAAATCCAGCACAGTGACTAAAGGTTTCAGAAGAAAAAATGCTATCAGTTACCCACTGTTGGAACACAGACATCTATAATTTTGTTTTTGTGTATGTTGCTGTATTTTATAAAAAATAATAGAACATTTAAACTGAACAGGTTTCTTGTCAGCTCCCATTGGAAGGTGAGGAAACAACTGTGGAAGTGGTTCAATATGCTGTGCTCCTGTACCAGGCATCCTCAAGGGCAAGAACACCACCAAACCAGACAGAGGTGATCTGAGACAAGTTCTACCCACAGGCATCATCAATACAATATAGTACATTATCTGCAAGAAAATAGTATTTAGTAAAAGTGGTTCAAATCAGAGAAAGCTTGACATGGGTTTGTTGTAAAGCACTGTGCTTGTCAATCATCTTTTTAAAGTCACAAAGCCTTTGGTTTGGCAGAAGAGTACTGCTGCTTTTTCCACAATACCTTCCCTCTTTAAGAAGGATTTTGAAACTACAATAATGTACAGGAAAATATAGGTATTTTCTGCTGAAAGGCCTGCTGGGACTGTACTGAAGCATTAGGCTGGGTCTTCCACTTCACCACAGCTAAAGCATGTGGCTAAACTGTCTGCGACAGGAATGCAGGGCTGCTGCATCACAGGATAGCCTAGGGCAGAATGTTGGGACACAGTGATATTCATCAGCAGAGTGGGCTAAGTTCTACAATACTGAAAGGACCTGGGGAAATTGAATGGGATCAAGCAACTGAGAGAAAGGGCAGGGAGGGTAAAAGTCAAGTGCTCTAAGATAAATGGTTGTGGACCCAAAGGGCCTGGCTGCTCTCTAGCAATAAATATGCTTGGGTAAAGAGGACAGGCAGATGAAAGGGAGAAGTGAACAGAGTAATTAAGAGTAAGGAGGACACTGAATGAAACAACAGTTCCCAAGAAAGCAGTACAAGAAGCCAGAGGAAATTTATGAACTGTGAAAGAAACAAATGCAGAGGAGGGCATTCTCTTTCTCTATGAACCAAATATAAGTTTCAGAGAGCAACAAATTGCATGGATTTGGGGAGCCAGAGATCAGTGGAGACCACAGAAGAGTTGCTGACTGGTGGAACAGGTGACTGATTAACACCAGATGGAACCCTGCTGGGAAATTAAATGTTCTACCTGATTCTTAATTCACAAGGGGAAAAAAGTTCAGATGCTGAAGTAGGAGTAAATTTCCCTGGAGCAAAGGAGACCTTTGAAGGAAGCAGGGCTGACCTTGAACAGGTGTCAGAAATTGCCACATTTGTGCAGAAAAAAAGTGTACAGATGTTGGGAATCCAACTAGATGTGAGTTCCAGTCTCAGCTTGCCTGCCTACTTTTAACTTACTTATTGCATAACCTCGGCCAAAGTACTTAACCTCCCTGAGCAATTTCCTCATTGAGTCTAAATTAGAAACCCTATACTTACAAGGCTGCAAAGACTACAATATCTTACTTGGAATAAGTGCTCCACAAATGGTAAATTGTCGTTAAGCCTGAACTACATTTATAACTGAGGATGCTTAGACATTCCTTGAGTTGGAAACAGTTGATGTCAAGAAAGCTGTAAAGATTCTGACACTACATTTCCTAAAATCACACATCTGAATATCAAGAAAGGTGGCTGAGCCCCAAATTACTTTTCATTAAGAGGATTTTCCTTCTTTCTATAAAATATGGTATATATTCTACCAAGAATTTGCAGACAGTGTTACAGGAACCACTGCCATCCTGTGGGCCCTAAGGTTTATACTATTTGAATGTTTTTTAAGAAAAAAATAGTTTTAAGAAGTCTAGTGATTTTACCTGATAAGGTCTTGAACTCGACTGTTAAAAGCATCACCTTGCGAGGGTTTGTTTTTCATTTCCTGTGTTGATATTTTTGGTGTTGCTGGCCGGCTGTTTCCATCTGGCCGATTGGCAATCAGGCAGCCAAAAACCACAGCGCTGACTTTCAGAAGTCCACTTGTCAACCCTTCAAAAACTTGTTTATTTGTGTTTCTTCCCAAAATAGCATTATTTTCATCTGGAGCATAAATCTAGAAGAAAAAAGAAAGTGAGTGTGCTTCAATAAAACTACCAAAAATGGACAAGAGATAATTGGGGACGTTTCTAGAATCATCAATAATTTTGAAATTCTCTTGGAGCCAATGTAAAATGGCTGAGTATCAGTTCTGAAATCAGGTGGTCAGCTCAGATCCCAGTTTTGCCTTTAGAAGCCAAGTGACCTTGGGCAGGTTTTTTCCCCCTAAATTTTAATTTTTCACCCTTAAAATAGATAATGTAAATACATTATAAGTTCCTGTGAGGGCTTAAATGACCTAATGTACACAAAATGCTCAGCACATGCCTAGGCAAAGAACTAATACTAAATAAACTACATTAAAATTTTATTATGGGGGCTGAAGAGATGGCTCAGTGGGTAAGGGCATTGACTGCTCTTGCAGAGGACCTTTGTAAGACTCTTTTTTTATATTTTATTTATTATTTTTATTTTATGTGTATGAGTGTATTGCCTGCATGTATGTGAGTGCACCCATGTTGTGCAATGCTGCGAAGGTCAGAAGACGGCTTTAGATTCCCCTGGAACTGGAGTTAAGGACGGTTCGTAGCCACCATGTGAGTGCTGGGAATTGAATCCAGGTCCTCTGCAAGAGCGGTCAGTGCTCTTAACCACTGAGCCATCTCTCCAGCCCAAGACTCTGTCTTTTTTTAAAAAAATGTTTTATTTTATATTATGTGTATAAGTTTATTGCTTGCATGCATGTAGTACACCCATGTCGGGCATTGCCTGTGGAGGTCAGAAGAGGGCCTTGGATCCCCTGGAACTGGAGTTACAGATGGTGGTTGTTAGCCACCATGTGTGTGCTGAATACCAAACCCAGGTCTTCTGCAAGAGCAGCCAATGCTCTTAATGCTGAGCCATCTCTGCAGCCCCAGACCTTACATGTTTTGAAGGAGATTTTCTTTCATTTTATTCATGACCTGTTTCCACAGAGTTCTTTCTCTGCATTTCAGGTTGAATACATTCTTTAAATGTGGTAATCTTGAGTTATTTGTCATATTAAAGATTCATGGTCCAGTTCATCTACCAGTGTATTATACTCTAGATCCAATCACAAGCCATATAAGTGGATCTGTGTGACATGCTTCAACTTGAGTGATTAGACAAAGACCCAGTGTTTTCTATGGAGGGACTCCATCTATCAATAGGTATGGGTCTGCTCTCTTGGGTCAGTTAGTTTTAGTATACAGAATTTCACATTCTTCAAACATGGGAGCATATAACATGGTGCAGGGGCAGAGGTTCACAGAAGTCTGAGTGTCACTGATCTGAGAGATGGTTCATCCTATATTTTTATGACTGGCTAGTGTCCTGAATAATTTTGGTTCAAACTCTTCTTTGAGGATTAGGGACAAATACTTGGCTGTACTTATTTACTTACAGCAAATAAGACCTTGGGCACATAGGGCATCTAATTTAGACTTTCAACCAATCTTACTTTTGATCGATCGATCTATCTATCTATCTATCTATCTATCATCTATCTATCTATCTATCTATCTATCTATCTATCTATCTATCTATCTATCTATCTATCATGAATGAATGGAGAGAGACAGGATCTCACTGTGTAGCTCTGGTTGGCCTGGAACTCACTATATAAACTAGGTTGGCCTTGAATTCACAGAGATATGCCTGCCTCTGTCTCTCAAGTGCTGGAATTAAAGACATGTACCACTATGCCAAGCCCTATTCTTATTTTTAATTGCGTGCATGTGTGCATGCATGCGTGTGTGTGTGTGTGTGTGTGTGTGAATGCAGATGCTCAAGGAGACCAGAGGTGTTGGAACCCCAGGAGCTGAAGTAAGAGGCAGTTGTGATCTGCTTGACATGGATGGTAGGAACTGAACTCGGATCTTCTACAAGAGCATTGCTCTAATTTGCTTTCAATTGCTGTGACAAAACACTCTGACCAATACCAACTTGGGTAGGAAAGGGTTTATTTGGTTTATCACATCTCCCAGGCCACAGTTCATCACTGAAGGAGTCCAAGGTAGGAACTCAGGGCAGGAACCTGGAGGAAGAAGCTGAAGCACAGGCCACAGAGGAACGATGTTTACTGGCTTGCTCCTCTGGCCCCTACTCAGCCTGCTTTCTTATACAATACAGGACCACCTGCCTAGGGGTGGCACCACCCACTGTGGGCTGGGTCCTCCCACATCACTCAATAATCAAGAAAATACTCCACAGACATGGCCACAGGCCAGTTCAATGGAGGCAATTCCCCAGGCTCCCTCTACCCGTGTGAGTCAAGTTCACAACTAAAGGCATGTGCCACCACACCCGGCATGGTAACCCTAATTCTTAAGCCTTTGGGAGTTCTGTGGCATAAATTTTTCTTCTGGCATTCTTTCTGCTACCTTAGATTTTAGCTTCTAGGCACATTTAAATCATCTGCTTTATTATTAAAAGTAACTGCTTTCCTTTATTATGCTTATTCTTTGATGGATTATGACTGCATTTTATTTAGTATAAAATTAGTGAGGTCTTCAGAGAAAATATAATTTCTGTGTTTAATCAGCTACATTTTAAAGTTTACTCACTAATATCCCTAAGGATACAGCCTTCTGGTTCTTTCGTACACTACAGAAGAATATGGATGGCACAGTTCTAAGTTTTCAAATTTTCAACAAGCTTCTACTGTTTTTTTTTTTTAATCAGGAAAGATCTCAAATAAAACAGCATGCATGAATGTACTTTTTTTTAACCCTTTAATCACCTTGAAGTGTTTTAGCTAGCAACTTTATATTTTAAGAATATAATTAAGATGGGGCTGGAGAGATGGCTCAGTGGTTAAGAGCACTGGCTACCTTTGTAGAGGACCCAGGTTTGATTCCCAGCACCCACATGGCAGCTGCTAACAACCATCTGTAACTTCAACTCCAGGGGATCTGGACACCCTCTTCTGAACTCTGTGGGCATTGCAGGGAACAGGTGCATTTATACACTTGTAGCCAATACACTCATACACATAAAATAAAACAATAAATAAAATATTAAAAAAATATAATTAATCAAGAAGAAAAGAAAGAATTCTCAGATATCAAAATTAATGGCACTTATTTAACTACTCATCTAACATTTGAATACCTACTAAATACATGACCAAAGGGAACAGAGTAATGATCTATACACTCTTGTTTTTTTTTTGCTTTGTTTTTTTGAAGCACAGCCTCAGGTCGGCTTCAAACTTGCTATGTAGTTGAGGATGACCTTGAACTTCTGGTCCTTCTGCCTCCATCTCCAGAGTGCTGGGTGTTAAATCCAGGGTTTTATGCATATTAGGCAAGCTGTCTATGGACCAAGCTACATCCTCAGTCCCTACATTTGAGTTTTTATTCAGACCCTAGAGGCTCTGATTTTTACAATATTGTAATAAGCTACAATTTCTTGATCTATCTTACAGAACAGAAGTAATAATATAAAAGAGGAAAGTGGTGACCATTTTAGAGAGGCAGTGGCAAGATGTGACACTAATTTTGGAAGCAAAAGACAGTTTATGAGAATGTCAAGTGAAACTCATTTTGTACAATGAATATGCTAAGGAAAGAAATCTAATAAAATGAAGAGAAAATGCAAAAGATTTGCAATGTAGGGACAATTAAGCTGACTCCTCTTTGTTTTTTGTCAAATTTTTACTCATTACAAGTCAGTATAACTGCTAATGCTCAAAATGACAACTTTACAATATGAAGAAAAGGTTCAGTTATGAGCTGCACCTATGGGGTATTTGCATGTGAAATGTCCCCATATGTTTCTGTGTTTAAACACTTGGTCTCCAGCTAGTGGCAGTCTTGGGAGGCTGTGGAAATTGCAGGAGGTGGAGCTTTGTTGGAGGAAGTGGGTCACTAGGTGTGGGCCTTGAGGTTTTATAGCCTGGCCCCACTTCTTTTCTATTCTCTGCTTCCTGACTACAGATTCAGTTGACTAGCTGCTTCAGGCTTCTGCCACTAGACCTTCTCCAAATTTGATGAACGGTAGCCCCTAAAACTGTAAGCCAACAAGTCTCCTAGCCACCACTCATCAAAGTAGCTTCTTTCTCAATAGAGATTATTACAGAGTTACACCACTGGTTACACACAGAGATTCTCTGTGAATTGTCCAAGCCTAATGGCACATTTAGGATGTAACCTCTATACCTAAGACTCATAGAATGTAGAACAAGAGATGAAGAGAACACTAACACATCTTTCAATTCTCATCAATGAAGCTCCCTCAGGCAACAGAGGCCCAGGAACACAAAAGTCCACAAATGGCTAAAACACAGAGAATAAGGGTTAGCAGAGTGTGGGTACTTGGACAGGTCTCCTATATTGAGGTCCACCAACCTAGGGCTCAGGGACCACTGCAGAAGAGGGGGCAGAAAGATTATAAGGGCCAGGGAGGAGGTGCATGACCATCCAGAAATAGTCCTACAGGTACCTGGGACCCTTCCCATACAAGCCTACAGCAATGGTGTCAGCATGCACAAGACTCATGCAAACTTAGGCAGACAAAAACCCAGCACAGAACTGTGGAAATGAACAGCAAGCCCCAATCAAAGAATTATTGGCAGCCGATTACTGCTGGGTGAGGAAAAGCTGATCTTCTTGAGGGAGAAACTCTAGATAGGCTGACTAAACCCTGGTGGATGAACATGCACTGAGGGACATCTGGGGACACTAACTTTACATACTAGGCCTTAACACAAATGGCAGAATGTATGAACTCCAGTTGAGGGTCTATGGGAGGGTGCCAAAGGGGAAAGGAGTATAAAGATGATTTTATGTATGAAATACACAAAAATTCAATAAAAAATTATATTTAAAAACTATAAGCCTAAATAAAGCCTTCCTCCCTTAAGTTGCTTCTACTCAGGTATTCTGTCACAGCAACAAGAAAAGTAACTAATACACTGGGAAAGTATAAAAACTTATACTTACATTTTCCTTTCCTCAACCATTTCATTTAATTTTCACAGATTAAGAAATCAGA